AACAAGAACAGATCCGCCTTAGAAGACGAGAGGACCGGGAAAGAGAGGACGAACGAGAGAGACAGTGGGAGATGGAGAAGGAGAGGGAGAAACGGGAATGGGAGAGCAAACGGGAGAGAGAGCGGAGAAGGTTGAAACTTCACAATCAAACAGTTTGGATTTATTGAGCTGTTTATATGATGCCTGTTTTTTTCTCAGGTCCAGATCCAGGAGCGGAGAACGCCACAGGTACCGCCGCTGTCCTTATCAGGTGTGACGTTCTGTCTGAGAACAGAGGAAACATCATCTGCTCTGTTTCTGGTTGAAGCAGGGATGGAGGCAGTTCATCGTCGCATCGCTCCAGACGGCGCCGCTCCTCTCGTCCCAGAGAAGACGGATCTGAGCGGGACAGGGAGCGAGACAGGAAGCACCGCCACAGGGACAGACGCCGCTCACGCTCCCACTCCCACAGACACAAGAAGAAGAGGTGCTCACAGTATTTTATTTATCTCTTTAAACCAGATGTATAAAGGGTTTCCTGCGATGGCCGATCATTAGAAAGCAGTAATAAAATGATTGTACTTTCCTCCATTCGGACTGCCTCCATGTTTAAACATGTTGGTGGCAGCGTCATGCTGTGGGGTTCCTTATTGCAGCGGGGCGGGCAAAGAAAGGGAATAAAAAATGAAATGTTGACGTTAGGAGGGCGTCTATCAGAGGAAGATCCATCATGTTGTTGCTGTGAAACAGGAAGTGATTTCCGTATGAAGGCCTCTCTGGACTGAAGGTCCCGCTGCAGAGCCCCCCACCCCCACCCCCCCATGGCCGCTGGCTCGCCGCCTATCGAGCTGAGGAAAAGTCTCAGGTAGACGCCGTTGGCTTTGAATAGGTGCAGCAGCCATGTTTTAAACCCTGCGGCGTTCAGACGGCCATCAGCTCCCAGTCAGGTCAACATGGAAACAACTCTTCATCATGTTTAGCCTCTTTTCACAACGTTTACACTATGTTAGAAATTAATTTTATAGAGTATAAACCCGTTTGTCTTTATTCTCCTATAAAATAGAAATCAGGTAATGATGCCATCTGAGCTGTAATGCCCCCCCATGGAGGTCTGACATCAAAGCTCTGTCACGTTAACGCCTCTGGTCAAAGTTACGTCCCTATTAGCTGCTAATATGTCCTGAACTGACCCCTCCAAACCTCTAGGGGGAGCCCTAGAGGAGAAGCAGAGCTAGCTGGCTCTCAGAGGAGAATGCTAGCTGCCATTAGCTTGTTAGCTCACAGCAGGAGGAGGTGTCACTTCCTGATCAGTCCCAGAAGCACGATCCATCCCGCGAAATCTGTGCATCTAGATCTACATTCGGGTCGCCCTTGATTTTAATTTGATAAAATGACCTAAATGACGTTTTTCCTCCCTAAATTTAGTCAAATATAAGATGTTAAAGGTGAATCATGTATTTCCTGAGAAATAAAATGCATTAAAATCTTTTCTATGTTATCAATCATATGTACATAAATTTAGTCTTTTATGTTAACGCTTTATATTTCGTAATCTAAAGAAACAACTAAAATCAGATTAACTGCTCTGAGCGTCTCCCATGATGACATCATAATACATGTTTTAAAGATGCGTATTAGCAGCTTAGCATATTAGCATCTTTTAGTGAGTTAATGATGGAAATGAGTGATTTTAGTACCATGATTACATCATTTATGGACACCTGGACGTATATCTGTCCACTCATGATGAGGGCGGATTGTCCTCCCGGGCGGATCGGCGGTGACGAGAACTTTTAACGACGGATCTTTAGTTCCTGCTCTGCAGGAGTTCAACCGTCACTTTGATGGTTCCTCAACTTTAATGCAGGAAATAAAAACCATGACGGGATTTCAGGATGTAGCTACTGCTAGCATCTGCTGATGCTAAATGAAAATTCACCCCTTCGTCTTTGATTTCCAACTTTGCGCCCCCTGGTGGTTCAGAAAGATCCAGAGAAAAGCCTCATGTTTCAAAGCGTGGAACATCGGTTCATCCCCAGACTCAGATGATGAGTGGAAAGCTGGTTGCCCTGCAGACGCAGCAGACATGCTAACCCAGGGGTGGGCAATTCCAGTTCCTGGGGGCCGGTATCCTGCAACTTTTAGATCCATCCTTGGTCCAACACACCTGAATCAAATGGCTGAGTTACCTCCTCAGTATGCAGTCGGTTCCTGCAGAGTCCTCCCAATTATCTGAGTACTTGATTCAGGTGCGTTGAACCCAAGGCATATCTAAAAGTTGCAGGATACCGGCCCCCAGGAACTGGAATTGCCCACCCATGTGCTAACCTCTCTGGTGGAGCTAAAGAGAATTGACCCTTTCCAGCCACCGTCCTTCCAGTCTGACTGAGCTTTAGCTGTTTGACAACAATGACTTCAAGAAGCACTTATAAACACAGTTATTCATGTTTTCTTATTATTATTCAGTTATTTTCTCAGGTTTTACTGAAACCTGTCTTTAAAATTAGCTTTTAATTTGAGCCTTAAAGACTAAAACCTGGTTTGAGGTTCATCTATCGGTGGACTTTGGCTCAGACTCTGATTGGTGACGTGATGAACGTTCCCTCAGCAAACAGTCGGAGCCTCATGTTCAGCTGGAAAACATTAAACTGCAGTTCTGTGTTTTGGCCAGAAGTGGCAGCATCATTAGGAAAGTCCTTCTTTAAAAGCTTTGATCCTTCGTATAAAAGTAGATATAAACCGTTGAAGGACTTTCTCTAAAAAACAGTTTTTCTTCCTCAGGTCTTCCAGAGACAGATCGTCCCATCCAGGCGACAGAGAGACGTCTCCGTCCCAGGAGAGATGGCGGGAGCGTGCAGGGGAGGGATGGCGCAGTGACAGGGTGGAGGCTGCAGCAGACTGGGAGGACAGGGAGCGCTCCGCTTCCCCAGACGTCTCCAGAGGACGGGAGAGATCCCTTTCCTACGAGCGAGACCGCCGCTCCAGCTCAGAGGAGCGAGAGTCTGGAGAAATCTGAACACTTTCCTTTTTAGATGCGCATGCAGCTGGCAGTGCATCAGATGCCGCTATGCATGTTCAGAGTGGACGGCGTGGACGGAGTGGGACGTGTTCAGAGTGGACGGAGTGGGACGTGTTCAGAGTGGACGGAGTGGGACGTGTTCAGAGTGGACGGAGTGGGACGTGGACGGAGTGGGACGTGTACAGTCACTGACCTCCCAGCAGTTGCTCACAGGGGGACGATGTTTTCATTTTCTGCTTTGTTTACGGACTCTGGATGTTTTCTAGTTTTTCTTTCCTCTCATTGATTCTACAGGTGAGCTGCGGACGGCGGCCATGTTTGTCCAGCTCTGTTTTAATTTGCTGCCTTCTAACCGATGGTGTCCTGGTTTAGACCCTGAAGCGACGCCCCGACATTCCCTGCGTCTCTAAAGAGCTCATCCTAATATTTTCCATCAGTCCCCAGATTGACGCTCGGTGCATCTTTTCACTCTAACTCTGATGCTGTGATGTAGGACAGACTTTTAAGGAGGGGGGGGGGTCCACATTGCCAGAACTCCACCAGTTAATAAAATGTTCTGATTTGGTTCAAATATTCCTGCTTTTGTTTTTCTTTCATTCGTTTGCTGAACTGACGGCTCGGGGGGAGTGGGGGTGCCAGGGTGACGGGGGCCTTGCTGATCAGGCTGGTAGCGGATGGGAAGAAACGGGTTTTGGTCCTGATGGAGCGCAGAGGGAAGGGACTGGGATCAGCCACCATCTTCCTGCAGGCCTCAGAGTCCTGGAGGCGTACAGATCCTGGAGAGATGGAACTGGACTGGATCCCTGCAGGGACCCGGTCTACCTGGACTGGATCCCTCCAGGGACGCGGCCTACCTGGACTGGGTCCCTCCAGGGACGCGGCCTACCTGGACTGGGTCCCTCCAGGGACGCGGCCTACCTGGACTGGGTCCCTCCAGGGACGCGGCCTACCTGGACTGGGTCCCTCCAGGGACGCGGCCTACCTGGACTGGGTCCCTCCAGGGACGCGGCCTACCTGGACTGGGTCCCTCCAGGGACGCGGCCTACCTGGACTGGGTCCCTCCAGGGACGCGGCCTACCTGGACTGGGTCCCTGCAGGGACGCGGCCTACCTGGACTGGGTCCCTGCAGGGACGCGGCCTACCTGGACTGGGTCCCTCCAGGGACGCGGCCTACCTGGACTGGGTCCCTCCAGGGACGCGGCCTACCTGGACTGGGTCCCTCCAGGGACGCGGCCTACCTGGACTGGGTCCCTGCAGGGACGCGGCCTACCTGGACTGGGTCCCTCCAGGGACGCGGCCTACCTGGACTGGACCTGGACTGGGTCCCTCCAGGGACCCGGCCTACCTGGACTGGGTCCCTCCAAGTCCGTGAAAATAAGGAGACCGGAAGAGTTTTGGCTGTGAATTCAAACGGGTCCATCCTTCCCCGGCTTTCACCGCTGTGCGCTCTGTTGCTTAGCAACCATGATATTTTACACACAGAGCAGGAAAACAATGAATACCAAACTTTTCACTGCTGTTTCATTTAAATGTATTTCTTTGTTTTATGGTAAAGTGAACAAAGACTAAAGTGATGAGAATCCAGGGCGGAATAAAGGAGCCAACCAGCAGGAACTAATAAAAGCAAATGATAGAAAAAGGTAGAAGTCAATCTAAACAATGTATCTATAAAAAATAGATCTGCCAAATCTCTTATATTTAACAACAAAAAATACTTAGTTAAGCATATTGTGCAAAACAGCAATTGAAAAATAAAAATCCTATAAGATTTATAGTCCCCCCCCAACCCATTTAATCAGTAACAGATAAAAACCTTTAGATAAACCATAAACAAGATGAACAGAATATAATATTTAAGACACTTTTAGAACAGAACAATTCACACCACTGACCGCTAGATGGCGCCCAGCAACCACGATCCACCGTAATGACGTCAGTCAGACGTTCGAAAAAGAAGCGCGAGCTGAAAGAAGAGCCGCAGCTCGATTGTTTTGCTGAACTTTGGGACTTTTTTCCAGAGAATGTCTGTTTTAAAACCTTTTAGCAAACTTCCTAATCTGGACACGGCCAGCATCCTGGTGAGTTAATCTGTTCCTCCTGCTCAATAAATGAACACTTCATCCCTGGATGGACATCCAGCCATGTTTGGGAGGATTTGCTGCCTGTTTGAAAACAGCTTTAAAGTTGCGGACTGGTTCTGCCTTTTCCTGCAGCTGGTTGAGAATGAGGAGCAGGTCCAGCAGGGATTAGCAGAGGCTCTGGTGGAGGATTCGGCCCAAGCTGTGAATGTGTGAGTCCCCTAGCCTAGCTAAGCCTAGCCTAGCCTAGCTAAGCCTGGAGCTAAAACAGCCTGGAGCTCAGGCTGTTTTAGCAAAGCTCGCCTTGTTGTGTTAAACTGCAATGTTTTAGCTGCATCCAGATTATAATCCAGGTTTTTTCTCTGAGCTTTTAAAGCCAGCAGAAGGTGGTGATCACTCAGAGTTAGCTTTGTTCACTAATGGTGCTCCTGCTTCCTCTCTGCATGGAGCAGGAGACTAGCCAGGAGTCTTCCTCTTCCTCTGGAGAACGAAAAGACTCGACCGAGGATCGACCTGGTGGTGTTCATCGTTAATCTGACCTCAGACAAGAGGTAACCTCACACCCACGCTTTAATCTCAGCACCTGAACAGGTGAGGCCTTTTTAATCCAGGGATTATCTACTTTATAAAGCATTGATTTAGTCTCCAGGGTTTTATGGCAGAAACAGGTTGAAGATAATCAAACATGTTTTCAATAACAGATTTAAGTTCAGTTGCACACATTTAAAAGATCATAGGAACCTGGAAGGTGAATTCACCTGGAGACAAGATGGCCGCTATACTTTATTCCATAATAAGGACCCCAATACAGTGTCTGCTTACCACTTTCTATAAGCATAGACGCTAAAACTCTTCATCCTTTTTTTCACAGTTTCAAGTCAGCAAACGAGTCTCTAAAGTATCTGGATCCTGGATACTTCCTGGGGAAAGTCTGCTTCATGGTTACTAAAGGTAAGAAGAATCCTTCACACAACGAAGCCACAAGAGAAGAAGACTTCTTATAAAACGTTAGACAGAAGCTGCAGAGAAAAAAACGTTTCTGACACGTTTCTCCGTGTGCGTTCTGTAGCTCGCTATGCCTCGGGCAACATGGGAAGGCTGGACGCTGTCAGGAAGATGGCCGCTTCGCTCCACTGCCCCCTGCTGTTTGCAGAGGTTCAGGTTTGTGCAGCAATTCAGAATTTTAGAGGCACAGAACAGTTAATGTGATTGGATAATAACAATGATAGGTCGCAATTAACGTATTGGATAATAACAATGCTAGGTCATAATTAACGTATTGGATAATAACAATGCTAGGTCGCAATTAATGTATTGGATAATAACAATGCTAGGTCATAATTAATGTATTGGATAATAACAATGCTAGGTCATAATTAATGTATTGGATAATAACAATGCTAGGTCATAATTAACGTATTGGATAATAACAATGATAGGTCGCAATTAACGTATTGGATACTAACAATGCTAGGTCATAATTAATGTATTGGATAATAACAATGCTAGGTCGCAATTAACGCATTGGATAATAACAATGCTAGGTCGCAATTAATGTATTGGATAATAACAATGCTAGGTCATAATTAACGTATTGGATAATAACAATGCTAGGTCGCAATTAACGTAATGATAATAACAATGATAGGTCTCAATTAACGTAATGATGATAACAATGATAGGTCGCAATTAACGTAATGATGATAACAATGATAGGTCGCAATTAACGTAATGATAACAATGCTAGGTCGCAATTAACGTAATGATGATAACAATGATAGGTCGCAATTAACGTAATGATGATAACAATGATAGGTCGCAATTAACGTAATGATGATAACAATGATAGGTCGCAATTAACGTAATGATGATAACAATGATAGGTCGTAATTAACGTATTGGATAATAACAATGCTAGGTCTTAATAGACGTTATTGGATAATAACAATGCTAGGTCGTAATAGACGTTATTGGATAATAACAATGCTAGGTCGTAATAGACGTTATTGGATAATAACAATGCTAGGTCGTAATTAACGTATTGGATAATAACAATGCTAGGTCGTAATAAACGGTATTAGATAATAACAATGCTAGGTCGTAATTAACGTATTGGATAATAACAATGATAGGTCGCAATTAACGTATTGGATAATAACAATGCTAGGTCGCAATTAATGTATTGGATAATAACAATGCTAGGTCGCAATTAATGTATTGGATAATAACAATGCTAGGTCGTAATAGACGTTATTGGATAATAACAATGCTAGGTCGTAATAGACGTTATTGGATAATAACAATGCTAGGTCGTAATAGACGTTATTGGATAATAACAATGCTAGGTCGTAATAGACGTTATTGGATAATAACAATGCTAGGTCGTAATTAACGTATTGGATAATAACAATGCTAGGTCGTAATTAATGTATTGGATAATAACAATGCTAGGTCGCAATTAATGTATTGGATAATAACAATGCTAGGTCGCAATTAATGTATTGGATAATAACAATGCTAGGTCGCAATTAATGTATTGGATAATAACAATGCTAGGTCGCAATTAATGTATTGGATAATAACAATGCTAGGTCGTAATAGACGTTATTGGATAATAACAATGCTAGGTCGTAATAGACGTTATTGGATAATATAATATTTGATTTCTCAAAGTTTCTGTAATAAAAAAATAAAATTCTAAAGGCTTTTTTATGCCCCTTTATAAAAAGTCGCAACAAATTGAGCCATTTTTTTTTTTTTTTTTGCTTCCTGGTTTGTCGCATTTCTCTGTTTCTAATCAGGGGTGTTTTTTTGTTCTTGGTCAGCAGAGTCCAGAAGGAGTAACGAATGCGGCGCGAAGGCTGCTCACCATCCTGAAAGTGGCATCAGGTCTGGTTCCCAACACCTCGTCTCTGTACCTGTCCAACCTGACCAGGTGCACCAAGCCGCCGGACATCGACCAGCCCAGCTTTGATTAACTGCTCACCTGCTGTTTTCATTTATTTATCAGGCCGTCTGTGTTAGCGGCTGCTCTGCCCGTATGCGCAGCAGTGAAGATGCTCTGCCTGCAGGCGCAGCAGTGAAGATGCTCTGCCTGCAGGCGCAGCAGTGAAGCTGCACTGCCTGCATGCGCAGCAGTGAAGCTGCTCTGCCTGCATGCGCAGCAGTGAAGCTGCTCTGCCTGCATGCGCAGCAGTGAAGCTGCTCTGCCTGTATGCGCAGCAGTGAAGCTGCTCTGCCTGCATGCGCAGCAGTGAAGCTGCTCTGCCTGTATGCGCAGCAGTGAAGCTGCTCTACCTGTATGCGCAGCAGTGAAGCTGCTCTGCCTGCAGGCGCAGCAGTGAAGCTGCTCTGCCTGCAGGCGCAGCAGTGAAGCTGCTCTGCCTGCAGGCGCAGCAGTGAAGCTGCTCTACCTGTATGCGCAGCAGTGAAGCTGCTCTGCCTGCATGCGCAGCAGTGAAGCTGCTCTGCCTGCATGCGCAGCAGTGAAGCTGCTCTGCCTGCAGGCGCAGCAGTGAAGCTGCTCTGCCTGCAGGCGCAGCAGTGAAGCTGCTCTGCCTGCAGGCGCAGCAGTGAAGCTGCTCTGCCTGCATGCGCAGCAGTGAAGCTGCTCTGCCTGCAGGCGCAGCAGTGAAGCTGCTCTGCCTGTATGCGCAGCAGTGAAGCTGCTCTGCCTGCATGCGCAGCAGTGAAGCTGCTCTGCCTGCAGGCGCAGCAGTGAAGCTGCTCTGCCTGCAGGCGCAGCAGTGAAGCTGCTCTGCCTGCAGGCGCAGCAGTGAAGCTGCTCTGCCTGCAGGCGCAGCAGTGAAGCTGCTCTGCCTGTATGCGCAGCATTGAAGCTGCTCTGCCTGCAGGCGCAGCAGTGAAGCTGCTCTGCCTGCAGGCGCAGCAGTGAAGCTGCTCTGCCTGTATGCGCAGCATTGAAGCTGCTCTGCCTGCATGCGCAGCAGTGAAGCTGCTCTGCCTGCATGCGCAGCAGTGAAGCTGCTCTGCCTGCATGCGCAGCAGTGAAGCCTTATTCTGTAGATGTTGCATTTTATTGTACATATTATGTTTAGTTTTTTACCAAATGGTGCTTTTTAAAATCCTGTAATAACAGAAAGTTTATAGATGTGTTTCTTGTTCTCCTACAAATAAAAAGTGAATGTTGGCTCATAGAGACGAGTCTGTTGTCCTACAGTGAGGGTCAGATGGGGGAGGAAAAGGTGTGTCACCTGGAGCGTGTCCACAGACACGGTCCCTAGTGTCACGTCTGCGTGCAAACACTAACATGCTCACTATTAATAGTTATCATTCTGGCACCTTTCCACCTCTGAGGATATTAAACGCGACCTCCGATCGACCGTTACAAGGAGTCAGAGAGACAAAGGCTTTCTGCACAAACAATGAGAACTTTTCCTGCTCCTAAAGCTGTTTTCTGTCTCCTCTTCACAGAGATTAAAGTTTTATCTAAACAACCCAGAAGTGACCTGAAGACCAAATCTGCTTCGGCACTTTCCCCTGTTAGCACGATAATAGAGCGAGCAGCTGATGACCTTCTGACTCTGGCAGGAGATGTGATGACGGTGGAGAGGAAGTTCATCCAGCTGCTTTAAAAATATGCTTTACCAAAACGGGAGAAAAGCTGGATTAAACTGACCTAAAGCTGCTCTCATTCGCTAGTTTTCCTCCTGATGTTTAATTAGCATCACATCACCTGTCATTTCAAAGCACTTTATGGAAACTAATTAATCCAAGCTTTAATTTTTTTAGCCTGTTAAAAACAACTGATTTAGCTGCTGTTAGGAATAAATCAATTAAAAATGTTAACAGAAAAAGATCCTGAGAAATATTGGAGATGTCTGCAGGTCAGTGATGCTTGATTTTATCAGTATAATTAATGCATCATCGTTCTTTACAACCATTAGAATCTGATGGAAACTTTAATGTTTTCAATAAAGGCTGATTCACAACATTTGAACAAAGATACAAAACATCCACATTATGATGTAGATGGAACTAAAAACTTTTTTTAATATGTGGCTTTTGTAAGATGACATTTTTTATATTTGTGCAATAATTGTGATGCACGAACTGGAGCACTTTTTTTATCTCATCTATTTCATCATGTTGCTGAATACTTACAAACATGCAATATTAAAACATCTTCAAAATAAAAACATCACAAAACAAACAATCCCAATACGTAAGTACAATAAAATGTGGAGTAATATGAGCTTAAAGGCCCTCATTTAAAAAATGTGCAACACAATGAATGTCTTCTACTGTTAGCAAAGCTGTTACCTACTTTACTCAGTTCTTAAAATAAATGCTTATATAAAATTATTTAGGCTTAAAACTTTCCTTTTTGATAAAGCTTCTAGTTAGAGTGGCTCAGGTTATCCTGATCTATCTCTATAGTTCTGCTGCTATAGGCTTAGACTGCTGGAGGACATAGGGACCCCTTTTTCATCATTCTGCTTCATTCTATCTCTATTCTCCCACTCTGCAGAATCTGTTAGTTCAATCTCTAACGTTCTGCTCTCTCTGCTTTTTCTCATAGTAGCTTCATCTGGTCTGTTCCTGTTTGGCTGTGACTCCATCCTGGAGAGAAATATCAGCTGTGCTGCTGCCATCAACACCTTTGTTTCTAGATGCTGGAGCTTGGCCTGTTTTCCAGTGTAGTCCTGTTTCTCTGACTGTGACTAACTGGATGTGCTCTCTTCATCCTCTGACATGGGAGCTGGCTCGGAGCTCGTCTGCCTGGCTGTGTGTTTCCTGGACGGGGCCGCCTGTGGAGCTGGTTGACAGTTGCCTTTTGTATCTATGCTTCTTTTTCTATGTCTGCTTCTGTCTCCTTGAACCCCAGTGGGCCTCAGCAGATGGCCGCTCACACTGAGCCTGGTTCTGCTGGAGGTTTCTTCCTGTTCAAAGGGAGTTTTTCCTCTCCACTGTCGCTACAAGCATGCTTAGTGTGAGGGATTGCTGAAGAGTCAATGAGTCGATGCAATCAGCTGGTTTTCCTTAGATAGAAAACTTTGGATCAATCTGACTGGATGATCTGGTTGATCTGGATCTATAAAGTGACATGATGTGATTTGGAGCTCTAGAAATAAACGGAATAGAATTACAAACAGTCATGTTTTTTATGCTTTTTTTCATTCTATTCGTTTATTTTTTCACATAAGGAAGGAAAACAGTTAAAATATAACAGACCAATAAAATAATTTGTAATTCTAAAGTGTGGAATTGATAAAATGTTAAATATTAATCAGAATTCAGTTTATTTATCTATAAATCTTTTCTCAGCCTCTGGGTTTCCATAAAGCTAAAGAGTTATATGTGTATATATTTATTATATCTTTATAATCTTGTGTGGTTTGTTGTGTATATATTATATAAAACTGTATCTGGAGCAAAAGTAATTTCCCTCTTATTAAAGTATTGCTGATAATGCAGTTAGAGTCATGATGCTTTAAAGGAGTAATTATTGAAAAAAGAGGCCAGAATAAATAAAGGAGATTTGGACTGAAATCTAAAAATAAATTACATTTTCAAGTTTTTCTAATAAAATAAAAAGAGTTGTAGCAAAGTATTTATCCAGAGAAAATAAAAGATAGATTTTACAGATATTTTTATAAAAAAATCTGCAGAGTAAATTAAAGTAACACTTTAATTTTAACACCAATTAGAGTGTATTTGGTCCCACTCTGAATTACTGTTAAATTAACTCTCTAAATAGTGAATATTTGACTCCAGATGCTGATAATCCTGCACATAAACTATAATCGCTGAAAACATGACAGAAATCTATTTCCCGCCCATTAGTTGACCTGAGAGTCCGGATGAAGTGGAACTCGGAGCCATCAAGTCGTTTCCACTTATCAGACGGTTTCCTGTCTCTGCAGCTGCTGTTTGATATGGAAACAAAATTTAGCTCCTGTTTATTGCTGCTCAATACTTTTTTGGCATCATGACAGTTTTGTGAAAAACACACTTTACCAACGCATCTATGTGCTTTACATCTACGTCAACCTCCGCTGGCTTGAAAAAGCGTCTAGTCAACATTTTCAACAGAATGAGGAGTAACTCCTGCCTTTGGGCAGTCGTGGGTTTGGGCAGTCGTGGGTGAGCGGTTAGGGTGTCAGACTTGGATCCCAAAGGTTACCGGTTCGACTCCTGACCCGCCAGGTTGGTGGGGGGAGTAATTAACCAGCGCTCTCCCCCATCCTCCTCCATGACTGAGGTACCCTGAGCATGGTACCGTCCCGCCACACTGCTCCCTTGGGGCGCCATTGAGGGCTGCCCCCTTGCACGGGTGAGGCATAAATGCAATTTCATGGTGTGCAGTGTTCACTTGTGTGTGCTGTGTCACAATGACAATGGGAGTTGGAGGAGTTTCCCAAAGGGGCTTTCACTTTGCACATCATGCTGTCTTCTAAGCAGCTGAAGCGTCTCTTTAAACTCTCAGAGGATCTTAGAATCAGCAGTGATTGCAATCATTTCCTGGAACGCTGATTCCTTAAATTACATGTGGAAACGCAGCATCGTCCAATCGGCTCTTTAAACACCAAGAAGCTCCAGCTGCTTATGATGGCGGCTGTCCTCACCCGGGTCCTCAGCTCGGGCTCCAGAGGAGGAGAGGCGTGTCTCCCCACAGGGTTCGTGCTTCATGTCACGTCTGCACTGCATTCACAAACACGCGCGCACTATTAAAAGGTTATCATCAAGGCAATTATCCGTCAGACCAGTTAACCAAACACTGTTTTGGCACCAAGCGAGGACCTGGAAGGACAACAGGATGTCTGAGGGACAGAGGAATGTCCATGATATGAATGTCCCGCAGCTTCACGGCTCTTTGCTGAAATGAAGCGTTGGAGCTAAAATAAAAACGTCTTTTCGCTGTTTAAATGTCATCCAGGTGTTTTATTAAAATTAGACGACCTGTAATTACCTTTGAGTTTAGCTTGGCAGCGTGAAACCAGCTGACACTGGTGAACTTGTGACGCTGCATGTTTTCACGCTAATGACACTATTATTTATTAAAACCTTTAGATCAGTTTGTTTTTCAGATGTTTATTGAATTTATTGCGTTGAGCTGCAGTCAGTCGAACTCCTGCCGTCTACTTTTGGCTCTGAGATAACCTGTGAATGTCTTTAGTGTCCGGCGCTGCCACTGATGATTGACTAATGAGCTTAAAGAGCAGAGCTCTGCTGCGCTGCTCGCATTCATTACTCAACGTCCTGCTTTTCACTGCTCTCAAATAACAAAGGACAGTTTTACAAACTTTAACTCTTTGGTTTTTTAGGTGTAATAAAGTGAATCATATAAAACATAAAATCTTTGTGCTTTAGTTCTACCTTATTTTTTTACTTATAAACATCCAGAAAATCTATTTTCCTCTTTAAAGATGTGCAGGTCTTTTATTCTAAAACCTGAAAATATAAATGTTGGTTCCTTTATGTATTGATCCTTTTTCTCAGAAGGTTCCGTGTTTCTCTGACCGACTTTTCTTCAGGTCCAAATGGCTCTTTGAAGGTCCAGCATTATAGAGCTACATTAAACAGAGCGGATGATCTGCTGTCATCAACCATCCAGTTAGATCTGGAAAGTTAAACCAAAGCTAATATTTAAACGTCCAAAGATGTTTTCCCTAAACGCTGCTTTAACATTCAGACCGTCATCCATCGATTCACAAACTCATTTAAAAACTGGAAACTTTGTCTTTGAGGCAGCAGCGATTTTCCACATTGAAACATTTAGGAAGAAATAAAAATAATAAGAAATAAAAGTAGTAAGAAATTAAAGCTACTTGAACTTCAGTAACACCATGAAGGCGTTTTTAATCAGACCTTTAAATAGAAATTCTTTGTTCTCCGTCCAGCTGGAAGCTCGTCGCTGGAGCCTCCAAAGTCCGTCCACTCAGAATAAAAATGATTGATGATAAAATGCAAACATGAAAAAGGTTTAATTTTTATAAAATAGGCTGTTTAAGATATTAGAAGATCTGAACTCCTTTCTAAAACCTTTTTCTTCAGCCTGTATTTATCACATGTTTAGCATAACTTTATGTTAAATATTCTAGGATTAAAAAGGCAGAAACACAGAGATGAGAGGAAACTCAAAGATAATGAGCCGTAAGGAGAAGCAGAGCGATTTTATTGGTCGAATCAGACAAT